TGGTCTTCGGAGGCCCTTCCATTGTCTTCTGGAACAAAAACAGGAAGAAAATAAACAGCAGATGTCCACTTAGGAGTTGGCAAGGCCTGAGGGCACCTCCAGTTCAGACTCCTAAAACTAATTCTCCATTGAGGAGCCATTTCCATGCTAATCTCCTAACTCACTTTGTACTTGCAAACACCTATAAATAACTTGAAGCAAACCAGGGGATGCTAAAGCAATGCACTGTTCACACAGTGCATGAGTATTTTCATTTTCTCAGTTTACAGGAAAGCAGGAAATGTTTCTTAAAAAATCACATGCTTATGTCCCTCTTTCAAAGTATGTTTGCTGGAAAATAATCACACAGAATGTGTGTGTGTTTACACATATATAAAGAGATCTCTTTATTATAAAGAATATTTATTTATTATAAAGAATTGGCTCACGATTTATTATAAGGAATTAGCTCATGTGATTATGGTGTTAACAGTCTCAAGATCTAGTCAGCACACTGGAGACCCAGGAGAGCTGGGGGTTCAGTTCCTGCTTGAAGACATTCAGCTCAAGACTCAGGAAAAGCCCATGTTTCAGTTCAAGTCCAAAGCCTTGTCCTGAGAGAAAACATTTAAAGGAGGGATGATTTAGGGGAAGAAAAAAGACAATGCATTTCTGTCACGATAATGAAGGATAGGATAGCTGCAGGAGTTGGGCTGTTCTCAGAAAAGGGAGATCAGAAAAAAATCATTTTTCTAGCACAGCAACTTTCAACCAGTATGATGCAAAAAATTTTAAAACATGCAATACTGACTATTTAGTAGGGGCCTTGACCTCTTTTCCCCTAGATGGTCAAATAAATGACAACAGCTAACATAACAATAGCTGTACACTGTGAATGAATCAAAATTATACACATTTTGCCCTGGCTAATATTGTTCAGTGATTAGAGCCTCAGCCCCAGAACCAGAGGGACACAGGAGTGGTTGCAGGTGAAGGGCACATACCTGGGTTGCAGGTTTGATCCCTGGCCCCATCAGGATGTGTGCAGCAGGCAACCAATGGATGTGTCTCTCTCACATCAATGTTTCTCTCTCTTTCACTTTCTTCCTGTCATCCCCTCCTTTCCACACTCTCTAAAAATCAGTGGAAAAATATCCTCCAGTGAGGATTAACAATAACAACAACAAAATTATACCTATTCTTTTTTGTCAGATTTGCAAAAATATATCTTCTGTAATTAGTTTCTGTGTGCAATGAGATGAAAATTGCTGTCCTAGCATAAAATTTTCTGAAGGGTCTGCTGCCTTGTTAAGCCTCGGAGCTCTAGCTGTGCTAAGTCAGGATAAACGTAACAACAGTCTCATGCTCTTGTTTTTCCTGTTTATATCACTAAAGCTGCAGGCAAAGTGCACACAGCACACTTCTGAGGAAGGGAATGCTAGGTACTGGGTATTCCCACCCACTTCCTGTTTCTCTATCTCACAGCAGACAGCTGCTGCTTCTAGAGCAGTTCTTAGCTTATATACACAGGTCCAGCTTTTGGGCCAGCTGGAGGTCACATCTTCTCCATGACCTTCCCCAGGTTAATAGACCATAATGGGTTCAAAGGAACACATTCTTCTAGGTGGAAGAAAAAGTTGTATTATTACTTGTGACAAGTGAAGGAGACGAGGGAATAATTAACAAAGCTCTGCCTCTCCTAAGGGAGGCTTAGCCATGGCTGATATACACAGTTTGCTTAGTTACATGTTGATTTCTTCTTTGTAGCTGGCTAAACTCATCTATGGTGGTTCAGGTCTAGTTCATCCCATTAGAGCTCCTATGCAAAATGCTGTGCCACATTTTAGCATTTAGTAAGAACTGAATAGACTTGAGACACTTGTCCCATCTATCACCAATATTCCATCACTGGTGACCAGCTTTCACAATTTCAGATGCCCCCTGACTCCTTCTTCTGCAAAGTGCCCTGAGAGGACAACAAGAGATCTTCACTAGCCCGAAGGTGGCTCGTTTGGTGGCTGCTCTCTCAGATGCCATAGCAACAATACAGTCATATGCAAGAGAAAACACAGGTTAAGACAACAATTCCCAAAATCAAGGAAAACATTTTCCAGCCAAGCCCCTGTGATCCAAACCATTGATTTAGCGAGTCCCCTGGGCTGCACTCAGGGCATTGACATGTATTCTCATGAGACTTAGCAAAGATGATACATTAGCAGATGCATCAGGTATGAACACAAAACATTCTGCTTGGACAATAATTTCAACTGTCAGGAGAAATATTCTGGTGTCAGAATCACTGGAGGGAATTTTGAAAAGAAACTATAATAAAGATCAGGGTATATAGGAAAGAGAAAAAAAAGTGGGTATCGTTAAGATTTCTTGATGAGGATTCTAGCAGCAGAGATGGGCCACTCTAAATAGGTACTGGGGGAAAATAAAGTTGAAGGGTTTCCTACAAGATGTGGAAACGGTATGCCAGTGACAAGGGAGACAGCTGGTAACAGGGAGGAAGTTGCACCGTAACCCTAAGGGAGTGAATGAGAACTGGAACCCAGAAGGACAGTTGGCTAGAGAAGGTGTGATGTTTGGTTTAGGATTGCAGCAAATCAGAGATGACCTGGCAGGGAGAGAGGTCAGAGGACAAATACCCCAACCTTGCTTTTCAACCTTAAAGACATCTCCTGCTTGGACTTCCCATTGGCAGAAGCCAAGCAGAAGTCAGAGAGCCAGAGATCCCACTGATGCTGTTAAGATAGGACAACGGTCTCAAGGTCTGGGCCATTCTTATTAAATGCTATTCTTGCTAAATATTAAAATGTAGCAGACCAGGTGTAAACAGGATGAGCTTGACAAGAACTCAACATTATTTTGCAGACCAGCTGTAACTGGATGAGCTGTACAAGAACTCAACTGGACAACTGTCAACTGCAAAGAAGAAATCAACATGTCATTGACCAAATAGTGTATATAAACCATCATTAAGCCTCCCTTTGGGAAGACAGAACTTTGGATATGAATCCTTTGTCTCCTTAACTTGCTGCAGGTCAATAAAAATACCCTGTGATAAGCATGTCTCCTTCTTGAATACAACACCCCACACAGAGAACCCCTTGAGTTTGGTAACAATGTGATCCACACAGATCAACCTCCTGGGGCAAAGAGTTGGAGTGAAGGAAGGCAAAGTGTGGATCTACAGAGGCAAAGGAAAAATATTTGGCACGGAAGAGATATTTATGTTACAGTCAGGGACATTTTAGGCTGGTACCTAAAAAAGAAAAGAGAGAAAAACAGTAAGAGAATTTAGCAATATCCGGGCATCCATGTGTTACTGGACAGGGACCAGTCTGGAAAGGGTCTGCCTCAACCAAGCCTGTAATGTGCCCGTTCATTTTTTTAAAAAAAATCTTTAATGTTGGAAGTATCACAGGTTTCCCCTTCCCCCTCCCCCCCTGTTGTGTGTGGGTTCTTGACTTGGTGCAGGTAAGATTTCACAACATGAGTCCAGGTGATTTTGAGAGTCTGTTTATTAAAGCTCTGGACAGTGAAACAAAGGAAGGGCTTAGGGTGGAAGAAACAACAGGAGACAGCCTAGATGGTGCTCTGCTTTGGCCCACTAGAAATGTTATAGGAAAGAAATGAGCCCAGGTGGGGCTTTAGCTCACTGAAAAGTCAAAGAAAAAGGGGGCCTTTGGAGACAGGATCAGGGGGTGAGCCCGGGTTGAGCTGCCGCTGCCCACTGCACACTTGGTTGCAAGTCTTGTTGGGACCCTTAGAGTTTAGGAAGAAATAAAAAATTTATGCCAGGGAAGGTGCATGGGTCTGCTCTAGAGCATGTACACATTGTTTTTGTTTTGAGGGCTTTTATCCTTGTGTGTGTTTATTTATTTGTGATTTTTATTTTCTTTAGTTTTTTAGGTTTTTTTTTAATGTTTCAACCTTTTTAATTTTTACTTTTATTTTATTTTTCAAAATATCACAGATGTCCCCCTTCTTCCTCATTGACCCCTTCCACCCAGCACCCACTCCCCTCCCCAAGCCTTCACCACACTACTGTCTGTGTCCACATGTCTTGCATATATGCATATAAATTCTTTGGTTAATCTCTCCCACCTCCTCCCACCTTGTCCCACCTTCCCTCTGAGATTCGTTAGTCTGATCCACGCTTTCATGTCACTGAATCTGTGTTGTTCATGAGTTTATTAAGTTCTTTAGATTCCACATATAAGTGAGATCATGTGATCTTTGTCTTTCTCTGTCTGGTTTATTTCACTAAGCATAATATTCCCCTCCATGCTGTCCCAAAGGATATGAAGTCCTTCTTCTTTACAGCTGCATAGTATTCCATGGTGTAAATGTCCCACAGCTTTATTACCCACTCACCTACTGAAGGGCATTTGGGCTCTTTCCAGATCTTAGCTATTGTAAATTATGCTGCTATGAACATAGGGGTGCATATATTCTCTCTGATTAGTGTTTTAGGATTCATAGGATATATCCTGTGGGGAGAATCTTAGGGGATGGTTTCACCACAATATTCATCAGCTTTCCAGGTGCATTTTTTATATGCTGATGCATCAAAATAAGCATATAGAGGAGTTTTGGATTATTCTTTGTCTGTTTTACTTTTAACTTAGGTATGTCTGGCTATAGTGGGGTTTTTGTGATTTGTTCCCTGACTTCATCTGTCCTTGGGTTGAGCTGGCACAAATGGCTTTAATTGGGTTTTTGTGTTCTACTTCCCAGACCAGGGTGATTTGAGCTATATATTCTCCGGTTAGAGGAAGTATAAACTACTTGCTCGCAAGTGCCCTTGGTTGGGGAAGATAAGGTCTTGCTATTCACAAACTGGCTGATACCTGCCCACTGTTTGGCGTTGTTTTTTATCTCAGTCTCCCCATTCCACTTTCTCAGGAACCTTCCTAGCTTCTCGCTATCCTGCTTCATAGGGACCACAGAACCATCTTGCTGGAGAAGCCTGCTGCTTCACTAACAAAGTGCTCAGAGATGTGGACTGAAATAACATACATCACCAGTGGTGCTAACACAGGACGCAGGNTGTGGACTGAAATAACGTACATCACCAGTGGTGCTAACACAGGACGCAGGCAGTGTTTCTCATTCAAATTTTCCTTAATTGAACTATACATAATATGTCATTGCCTGATTATGCCAATTTTGTAATTTCTTCTGTTTGTTGGCATTGTGGGTTTGATGGGAAATGAGCTGGGAGGATGCTTCTGGTTAGCTATCACTACATAACAAAACATCCCAAAGACTAGTGGTTTAAAGCAGCAACAATCATTTATTTTTCTCATCAACCTGCAATCTGGGGGTTGGGGAGCACAGTGGGGAAGGCTCATATTTGCTGTCTGCAGCTTCATCTGAGGTGGCTAGGCAGGCAGCTGGAGAGTTGGCTTCTGTTTTATCTCATTTGTGTGGCTGCCAAGTTGGTTCTTCTGGCAGATGAAATACCAGCCAGGGGAGTGGGCCAGTGACTTCCAGTCCTCTTCACGTGGCCTCTCGATGGGCAACTTGGGCTTCCTCCCAACATGGTGGCCAATTTCCAAGGGCATGTACCCCAGAGAGCAAGGAGGCATTCTCCCTATCTCACGTTAGAAGTCACAACCATCCACTATTTGTCAAGGCAGTCCCAAAGTCCATCGAGTCTCAAGGTAGGAGACACAGGTCCCATAACTCTACAGAAGGAAAAACAAGTTCAGAATGCAAGAACAATGGGTGGGACAGAAGATACTACTATAGCCATCTTTGGAAAATACAATCATTCGCATTAACACACCATTGTAGGTTAAGAAACAACAACATAACTTACATCATTTCCAAAAGCTAAGCCATATGTTAGAAAGGATCTTCCGAATGTGATGTACACCATCTTCAAATATATTTCTCTCTGTTTCTTCCTTTATTTTTTTAACATTTTTATCATAATTTGCCCTTAGGAATTTTATCTTCCCCTCCTTTTGTTGCTGCGATATTTTTCCCTGATCATATTCCTTCTATTACTTTAACTTCCCTCTGTAATTTATCAGCATACTGTTTCTTCAATTCCTCCGCCTGATGTTTCAGCCTTTCCTGTGTGTCCTTGTAGATGGGATCAGAGAAGTGAACCCCTCTGTTCTTCAGCACCATTTCCTCTATCAGCTCCACCAGCTCCTGCACTTGAGCTTCCTTCACAGCTTCGCCTGCATTTTTCCTGTTATCGAAGGCAAAGCAGCGGTTCCCACACTCCTTGATGATGTTTTGTAGGTTCGCTTCTGCCTCTGCTAGATACTCACTGTCTGGTCCTCCAAATTATCTTTGCAAGTGAACAAGATGATCATGTGTTTCATGGCCGGCTCCCCAAAGGTGGCCTTGATCAATGCAACTGTTCTCTGCTCCTCCTCAGTGTAGCGGCCCAGACGCACAACCAGGATGATGGCATGAGGCCGAGGGCAGGAGGCAATGACACACTGGCTCATTTCCTCACAGGTGGTCAGCAGTTTCTCTTTGGTGTCAAAGAGCCCTGGGGTGTCCACAACAAGAATCTTCTTCCCCTTCCAGTCCTGCAATGCTGCCTGACATTTCTTGGTAACAGCATGGGGAGCAATTTTAGACTCAAATTGTTTTCTCCCAAGGATGGTGTTTGCTGTCGCACTTTCCCCACTTCCAGTTTTTCCCACCGGAACAATCCTCAGGGTGTTGTCCTCAAGGCCATCCATGTTCTATCAAGAGGCTCTGGGGTGCAGGTACTCACAGGACCTTAGTGAAGGGAAGGAGAGGGGGAAAGGGCAAACTTAGCTAATTGGGGACCATTCCCAACCCTCTTTTATTATTTTCCTCCCTGGAAATTTGTAATGGTCTATTATTCATGCTGATCCCCGGAAGGGCAGAGAGATGATAATAAAGTTGAGTTTCCTACAAAAGAGTCCAAGGCCGAGGTGCTGTCCCAGGGGAACTCACTTCAACCTTTAAAGATCTGGTCATCTCCATGCTATGTGAGCTATTCCTGATGCAATAAAAAAGATGAAAGCTTTCATTTTTTATAGGAATCAAATGTAATATTGATGTAAAGCTAACATAGATTTTACCAATAAGTCAAGCTACATATGTGTCTCATTTGGAAATATTAATACAAAAATCCTAAATAAATTATTAGACACTAAAAAATAATACACCATGATTGTGTGATATATTTCAGAAGTACTAGGATGTTTCGATATGAGAAAATTGGTTGTTACATCCCATTAATAGATGGAGAGGAAACTTACCTAGATGAAGAAAAGACATTTGACCAAATTCAATCCTGACTCAGGTTTAAAGAATTTCATAAAATTGGAATTAATAGATACTTCTCTCACATGATTTTATATAACTATAAAGTCAAATTTTTGTTACCATCTTTGTTTTTATGCAGGTGACAAATAGTGGGTTATACAGTTAAATAGTGGGTTATAAACTGTAACGGGTTATAAAGTTCATTTGAATGAAGAAAAAAGAAAGTTGTTCGGCACCAGCAAGAAAAAGAACAAGGAGGGAGGGTGGCTCTCCCAGGAGCCAAGCATCGTAGTTTCTATAACTAAAGCAGTGTGGTCTGGCCAGTGTGGCTCAGAGCTTGAGTACTGACCTAGGATCCAGGAGATACTGGTTTGATTCCTGGTCAGGACACACGCCCCAGCTGTTAAGCTCGATCCCCAGCAGGAGGCGTAGGAGAGGCAGCCTATCAATGACTCATCATTGATGTTTCTTTCTCTCTCTCTCTCTCTCTCCCCCCTTCCTCTCTCTGAAATCAATATTAAAAAAANCCCCCCTTCCTCTCTCTGAAATCAATAATATTAAAAAACAAAACAAAACAGTGTGATGTTTGTGCAGAAGAGAGAGACCAGTGAAACAAAAATGGAAAATTTAGAAACAGACCAAATTAATCCTACCGTGTTCATTTATATTCCATTCCATTGTGTTACAGTTNTTAAAAAAAAAAAAAAAAAAGCAGTGTGATGTTTGTGCAGAATAGAGAGACCAGTGAAACAAAAATGGAAAATTTAGAAACAGACCAAATTAATCCTACCGTGTTCATTTAGATTCCATTCCATTGTGTTACAGTTACACTCAGGACGGCAGCATCTCACATCAATGGGGAGAAAGATGGACTAATAAAGCAGCTCTGAGATAAATAAAACCATATAGAAAAGGGTGAAGCTGCATCCATTGCCTCATGCCATTCAAATTCCAAATGGATTACAAGTTTAAATGTAAAAATCTTATCCATATAAATAGAACAAACATGGATAAATTCTTTGTAAGCTGGGTGTAGGGAAAATACTTCTAAGATTTNTGTGTAGGGAAAATACTTCTAAGGTTTGAAATGGGGTGAGGAAAAGGACGAATAAGTGTGATCACATAAAAATCTCACAGGTAATATGGGACAAAGCCACCATACACAAATTANGGTGTAGGGAAAATACTTCTAAGATTTGAAATAGGGTGTGATTACATAAAAATCTCACAGGTAATATGGGACAAAGCCACCATACACAAATTAATGCACAAATGTGAAACTAGGGAAAGAAGCATTTTCCAACTTGCATAAAGGGAGTGAATTTTCCTGTTATTAAAAAAAAACAAAAGGCCAACAACTAGATAGAAAATGGAGCAAGAGATGGGAATAAACATTGAGAAAACGAAATTTAAATGTGCCCTGAATATATGAAAAGGCATTAACATACACTCATAATAGAAAAAAAGAAATCAAAACACACAAAATAAAATAAGTAAAATAAATTAAAACTACAGCTCTATTTCTGAGTGAGATACTATTTCTCTTCTCCAGGTTAGGCAAAAGGGTAAATGTTCGCTGGCAGAATCTGTTGGTAAAGGGGTGGGGGGAGCAGGTCCTCTCCTGCGTGGCTGCTGAGAAGGAAAACCAGTCCACACCCTACAAGGAAGTCAGCGCTTCCTGCAAAAGTACCTACACATTTTCCCCTTGATTGTCTGTCCCCAGTGTCAGGACTTATCCCTAAATTACACTGAAAAGTACAAAAAATATGATGCATGAGGCTACTTATTTACTGCATCATCATCTTAACAGCAAAAGACCAAAAACCTATCAAATGGCCATCAGCAGGGACTGGTTGGATAAACTAAGGTATAGTCACACAGTGAAGTGCTGTCCAGCTGTGAAAAGGGATGAGATGTGTCTGTCTAGACCAGTGTGGAGAGATCTGCAGGATATGTCATCAGGTGAAAAAAAGACAAAATGAAGAAAATAGAGTTTACTTACCATTTCTCTAATAAGAATGAATATGAACTACATATATAACACTGTACATATATTTTTTATATATATGAAAAGGCAATAGCAGAATACTCTGGAAACTAAACCAACGAAAAGGTAATGGTATGGGGATGGGAGAAGCAGGGCGAAGGTCACAGGGACAGAAGCTGGAAACTGGACGTCTTGGATACACTTAGATTTCATAGATTTGATCTTGAAACCAGGTAGGTAATTGAAATAATTATACAACAAAAGTTATGTTTTAGGATGCTAAAATCAAAAGCCAATAAACAAATCTAATTGTATTTTGTGTGATGGATGAACCACATAAGAAATTGGTACCAGAGACTTGAAAACGCAGTAATTTCACTGTCCATCTCTAGAGGGATATATCTTAAGGTCAAAAAAGAAAAAAATCCAAAACCTGAAAAAAAATCTCAAACTGTTTTCAAAAATCATAATCTTAGGGCTGTGTGTGTGTGGTGGTTTTGAAGTCCATTGAAAACGCACAGAGATAATAAACTCAGTGAATAAGTACCCTTAGTGTCCAAGTATGGTCTTCAAATGCCACTTCCCACCAAAAATTAGGGCTCTAAGATTAAAGTACTGATTTTAGGTCTAGGCAGGAAATGTTTGAGTGGAGCCTACACTCTCATCAACTACAAAGCCAGGATGC